GTACAGTTCAGCATTTTTACCCTTCTGAAGTGCGCTTTCTCCCAGCTGCCATGGAAACATGGCGTAACTGGTTTCTTGGATAGTCTCACTCCTCTTGAGTTCCGGCTGAGAGAGCTAGTGAGCTCATTACAACTTGGATCAGAGTCCTGGAAAGTCAGCTCCCAGGGAAAGTGGAGGCCAGTCTCTCATGGGGCACGGGAATGGGGGGCTTCAGCTTTATTAAACTGCATACATACTTTCACTACACAGTCATCCCAACCTTTAGCTCAGGACAGTGTCACATTGTTCGCAGCTGTATTGCATCTTGAGGTTTCTGTGTGCATCCTACACACTTTCATAAGGCAGGGACTTATCTCTTCCAGCTGTAAGCCAGAGGGAGTGGTGCTGCAGATGCCTAGCAACACATGCGGACTCAAACAACACAGGCAGTTAACTCTCTTGAGTAGTAGACTTTTAGGGCCCCAGAACTCCGTCGCAGTTCACTGACAGTTACCAGATGTACATTTGTATGGCTTCGGTAGCACTGTGATGGAAACTAAACATTTTCCCTGCTACTTTCTTCTGGTATGCCTGAATCACTGTTTGAGAATGGATTGGACTTTGGTGCATAGAAAACTGGTGGCAGAAGTCTTATTCACTGCAGTGGATTGGGGTAAGCTGAAAAGATGTCAGGGAGGATTAACTAGAGGCAGAATGTGTCATAGTTAGAAGTATTTAGAAGGAAGGAAAGTTTGAACTGCTTTAGGGAAACTGAGAGCACTGCTAGAGCAGGAACCTTCCAGATGCTTGTCTCTGATACTGTTCCACACTAATATTCATGCCCTGAAAGAATCAGATCATTCTTGCCTCTCCCACTTGGATCTCTAGCTACTGGAATTTGCCAATTCTTGATATGAACTCTAAGATTTGGATGGAGCTTGTGACCTCATTGAGACCATTTGTTCTGAATGCTGGATAGAACCAGGAAAATAGGAAAAGAGGGTAGAATTAGGGTCATAAGAGAGGAATTGTTCTATGAAAGAAGAAAGATGATAGGAAACTAGGCACATGAGTTAAGAGGCAATGGAGAAGGAGGATTAGAAAGGGAAAAAAGAAGAGAAACTTTGTACCAGTATCTTCTACAAGATGTTTGGCTGGCACAGAACTAACACTCAATACTTTTGTATAAGTAAAGGAATGAAAGAAAATTTGGGAGTGGATGCTTATTCCTTGGAAACTGCTACAGGCTGGTGTTAACGGGAAAGCAATCTGTATTTGACCAAAAGTGCATTTCCACGTCTCTACATTGCTTTTTATAAAGAGCCAAAGGGACTCAATTATGAGTGTGTGTAAGGGAACTCCACACTAGCAAGTATAGGAGAAATTCGATGGTACTGGTGAAGGATGTTGTACCAATCTGGAGGGGAGGACAGGAATTGGTTTCTCACGGATTAATGCCACAAGACAACTCATACCATTAGTTGGCTGAGACCACTTTAAAAGGTAAGCAATGATGACTGGGCAAAAGAGGCAAAGGAAGAACCACATCTTTTAGGGGAGAGAGAAAGAAGGACAATTAAAGGGACCCAACTAGATCAAGTTCTACTCACCAAAGGACAGTCTCCAGGCAAACGTTAATTATCTTCAAGAAGCAATCGGTATATATAGCGTTTCAAGATACTCCAACATGCTTTAAATTTATTGAATACCTTTTATTGGCGTTCATCATAAACAAGAGACTCACAGATATATCCCAGAGGGGAGATTTTGGTGTAATTGACTGTAGTAGTTATTAAATAATCTATTAATAAAAGCCCACAAAATGGAAGATAGAAAAAAGACAACACAGGTTGGTATACAGAATTTATACTTGAAGTTTAACAACACGGAACAAGAAACTTTCTTAAAATATGCATTTAAATCATTTCCAAATGAATCACCAGAGGCTCTTAGTAAAATATTGATTCTGTTTCACAGATCTGGGTAGGGCCTGAGATTCTGCATTTCTCATAAGCTCCAAGCAGATACTGATGCTATTCTTCCTCAAATCACACTTTAACTAACAAGGACCCACATAGGTTCTCTGTAATAGGTGTTGGTAGTCATCCATGGTTAGATGTAGGTGAGGACTGCCCTCTTAACCACCTCTCGGCTGCCAGGTTATAATGAAAGCAAGTCTCAGAACAAGTTCTGTCACTTATGAGCATTTATTAGCCAGTGGGTACAAAACAATCTTACAGCCTATGCCAGAGACACAGTGAAGTCACAGTTCTGTCTTTTGGGGTGCTGGGTGTGAGAGGCTCACAGTCTGCAGAGACCACAGTCCTCTATTAGAGTGGTTCTCAAAGTGTGGTCCCTGGACCAGCAGCATCAGCATCACCTGGAAACTTGCTAGAAATTCAGATTCCCAGGCCCTCCCCAGATGTACTGAATTAGAAAATCTGGAGGTGGGGCCTGGGAAATCTGCATCTTTAAACTATCCACTCCAGGTGATTCTGATGTTTGCTCAAGTTTGAGAACCATTGTTCTAGCAGCAGGATTCCCTCAACTGTCTAATTGAATTCTGACAACTAAGAATCCAGTGAACCACAGCTGGACATTTTGGAATTCAGCCTAGGGCACCATTTCTAAAGATGGAGAATGTACTGGATTCTTCTTAAACTCAATGTCAAGGCAGGGAATGTTTCTAAATGTTTTTCAACAATCCTAATATTTTACAAACCACTAATATCGCTAACACAAGCCCGTCTAACATTAATTAGGATAATTAATGAAACCCCTGGTATAATAAGAGCTAAATATAACTGAATCATTTACAGTGGCTGCTTCTGGCTTGAGGCTTTTGGATTAATTTCTAGCCAACCACCCTTGGAGTTCATTCCTGATTAAGACAACTGACCACCTCTACAATGTAGCTTAAGCTAACACACACATACATCATAGCATACTGTTCATGTGAGTGTTTTTAAAGACTCTTAAAATTTACCTTTTGAGGGCATAATTTAAACACTACAACATGTTTCCATTTTAAGTGTACATGTTGGGTTTTGGCAAATACATACATACACTCGTGCAACCACCGTGCCAATCAAGATATAACATTTCGATCACCTAGAAAACACCCTTGTGTACCTTCGAGGTCAGTTACCTACTCCCACCACACCCCAGGCTACCATCTGGCATAGTAGCTGAGTTTTGCCTGTTCTAGAAGTTGATATAAATGAAATCAAACAGTATGTACTGTTTTGTGCCTGGCTTCTTTTACCAGCTTAATGTTTTTCAGATCAGTTCACATTATTGCATTATCAGTAGTTAGTTCCTTTTTATTGCACAGTAGTATCCCGTTGAATGACTTTATCACAATTTGTTTATCCATTACCTTATTGGTTGATTTCCAGTTTTTGACTGTTATGAATAAAGCTACTATGGACATTCATGTACACATCTTTTGTGCACATACATTTTTATTCTGTACAAATATCAGGGGAAAGAATATTTGGGTCATAATATACATATATGTTTAGTTTCATAAAAAACTGCCTCACTGGTTTCCCAAAGTTGATGTACATTCCCAACAAGCAGTGTCTGAGAATTCCAGTCGCTCCATATCCTCACCAACATTTGGTATTCCAGTTTTTTAAACAAAATTGTATGCTGAATAGTTTAAATTATACACATCGTTTTCTTTCCCCTAGTTTAAATTCAGGCTTTTATGTTTGGTCTCTGCAATGGCCATAAAGCTGAAAATGTTGACCCAAGTGACTTGGATATGGATTGAATTATTGCCCTTTCCTAACACCTTGTTAGAATTGGTTTCGTAGGTGCCATTTGATTATGGCAGTTATGTATGTCAGTGTACTTTTTCTTTCTTTCTTTCTCTCGTTTATTGATTCATTCAGTTGGTCAATTGGCCCATGACCTGTATTAAAACAGCTTTTTCAGAGAGGAGTTGCATATTAAGTTGCTGGGAAAAATGACAGAAGTAGGTGACAGAGTTCTTGTCTTCAAGGAGCTTTTTGGAGCTGGGTTCCTGAAATAAATGTAGCCCAGTATCTATCAAGGCTTGTGCAGACTTGAGTAAGAACATCATCTAAATATAGCTTCCTGCTAGGTGACGTGAGTCAGGGCTTGATAGACCGGTGACTGCAGAAACCACAGTAACATATATTGTTGTTATTCTGTGCTGAACATTAGAATGATTGTACCTTAGAATATAGAGCCAAATGTTTATTTTAATCCTAATTATATTTTTAAATACATATCACACACATAGACACATATGTTGGATAAAAAATACCCAAAATGTTAACAGTGCCTATTTGAAAGATTTATATAAACTTTTTTGTAGAGATGGGATCTCACTATGTTGCCCAAGCTAGTCTCAATCTCCTGGCCTCAAGCACTCCTCCCACCTTGGCCATTCAAAGTGTTGGGATTACAGGCATGAGCCACTGAGTCCAGCCAATTGTGCCTGTTTTTGAGTCTATGGGCTTGTGGATGATTTCTTTGATTATATATATATATATATATATATATATGTATGTATAAAATGTCTAAGTTACCCAAAGTGAGCATGTGTAACTTCTACAGTCAGAAAAAATGTTATATTGCCACTTGATTGTTTAAGGTCTTAGAGCTATTTAAATAATGTATTGCTTGTTCTCTTTGATCTTATGCAGCAAAAATTCACTACAGTAGATCCAGATTACTTTCCAGAAAAAAATAATGCCTGTCTATCTCTTTCCTCTTGGAAACAGGACTACATGAATGCCCTTCAGGCTATACCACTGTAGTCTTCACAGAACTTAGCCTTCCTGATTGTCAAAGGGCAAAAGGAATTATTTTTTTCTTTTCCCACATTAACAGAATTTTCACCTCCGAAAGCTTGGTGCATACACACAATATTTCTTCTAGGCTATTTTTGTGGTGATTGTAGTTATTGGCAAATCACTGTGGGGGGTGGGGGGTTGTCTGTGTTTTCTGATGGAATAACAAATGATCTTTGTTTTCCCCCTTTTCAGCTGACCTGAATAATGTCAGATTCTCAGCTTATAGGACTGCCATGAAACTCCGAAGACTGCAGAAGGCTCTTTGCTGTAAGTATTGGCCAGTACTTGAAGATCTTGATACTATGTCTTTGCTTAGAATAAAAAGTAGGTTGGGTACATTTTTACTTAGAGAGGGGAGAAATAGCTGTAACAATTCCTGTTACAACATAGAATTCATTCTTTAATGTATCCTTGGCCTAGAGTTTGCCTAGAATGTTTTGTTTTATTTTTAGAATCATTCCTGTCACCATTCCTCAGCTACTGATGTTGAATTAGGATATTGATAATTTTTATTTTCCAACTACTGGCATTGGCATCCATAATTACCTTTGTGAAACTTGCACTGTCTCTCCTTGTTCTACCTTTGTTTTTTTTTTTCTTTTTACAAAAATGTACTTAGTATTAGAAGACTGTGACTATCTGATCCAAACCAAAGTTCATAGACGTGTGTGGTTTATTAGCTTGAATGCCAACGTGAAGATGAATGATGTGGTAGAGGAAAAATGACAGAATTGCTTTCCTCCTTTTTTATCATACATCTGTGGAAAAATCCTGAAGTGTTACACAGCTCTATCATGTCATCAGATAGTTTATGTATAACTCTACTATTGTCCGAGGGTCTGTATGCATTGATGACATGCCCATGAAACAGGCACAGTTTCCTTTTTTTTTTTGAGTTGGAGTCTTGCTGTATTGCCCAGGCTGGAGTGCAGTGGAGTGGCACAATGTGGGCTCACTGCAACCTCCACCTCCCGGGTTCAAGCGATTCTCCTGCCTCAGCCTCCCAAGTAGCTGGGATTACAGGCATGCACCACCATGCCTGGCTAATTTTTGTATTTTTTAGTAGAGACGAGGTTTCACCATGTTGGTCAGGCTGGTCTCAAAATCCTGACCTCAGGTGATTCACCTGCCTCAGCCTCCCAAAGTGCTGGGATTACAGGCATGAGCCATTGCGCCCGGCCCAACAGGCACAGTTTCTACTCTGATGGAACTTACAGTCTAACAAGGGATAACCAGGATGTTCATAAAATTTGTAGACTTAAGCAAATATATGTATAATGTATTAAGAATGTCTACAGTTGGTTAAAAAAGAAAAGTGATCTTGTCTCTATTTCCAAGACCATTTATTTCAATGTCATATATTTAGTTGTGCAACAGTGGGATAATGGGGCACTATGTGAACAGCTAACTGTGTGGAATGAGATTCAGAGAATGTTTGTTTGAAGAGGTGATGTCTAAGCTAGGTAAGTCTAGAAGAGTAAGCAGCTCTCCCTCTAGGAAAAGTGTTCTAGTCAGAAAGAAGAGCATGTACCGAAGGGCCCAGAGAAAGCATGACACATTCAGGAACTGAAAATATGTCAGTATGGCTAAAGCACAGAATTCCAGGGGAAAGATCTGTTGTGAAATAATAGGCTGGAGAGAGAAGCAGGAAGCAGATTGTGCAAGGTTTTTAAAACCCAAGTTAAGGAATTTAGAGGTCAGGAGATTTGGCCTGGGAGTGATATAATTAGATTGTCGCTTAGAAAGATGATTCTTGCTGTGGAACAGAGTATGGATTGGTGTGCTGTGGGAGTGACAGGAGAGAAACCTGTTGCAGTAATCTAAACCAGCAATGTTGTGACTTGAATTAGCAGAGTAGTAATGGAGATAAGTGGAGAGAATTTAGAAATATTCAGGAAGTGGATTTGACAGGCCTCGATGATTCATTTGATGTGGTGCAGGGGTGTCCAATCTTTTGGCTTCTCCGGGCCACATTGGAAGAAGAAGAATTGTCTTGGGCCACGCATAAAATACACTAACACTAGCGGTAGCTGATGAGCTAAAAAAAAAAGAATATCGCAAAAAAAAAAAAAAATCTCATAATGTTTTAGGAAAGTTTACTCATTCATTTGGGTCTCATTCAAAGCCATCCTGGGCCGCATGTGGCCCACGGGCCACAGGTTGGACAAGCTTGATGTGGTGGGTGAAAGGGAGTCAAGGAAGACACTTAGGTGCTTGGCTTGGAATATCAGGTGAATGGGGACTTGTCTGGTAAGGTTAGACACGGAACTGTGGTGCTCAGGAGAAATATACAAACAATATTTAGGGATCATGAGCCTGTAGGTGCTGCTTGTAACCGTGGAGAGGATTGGATAGCTCCAGGAAAGTGTAGAGTGAGAAGGGAAGTTATTTAGGACACAGGATAAGCAACCTACAGAAGGGACTGCAAAGGAATGGCCAGCAGGAAAGAAGGAAAATTCCAAGAGGTTATGATGCCACATACTCCATGGGAAGAAAGAAAGAACCCATCACCAGGGTCAGATGTTGCTGGGATGTCAGGATAAAGTTGTGGAAAGTGCCCATTGGATTTAGCAACAGGAAGGTCCCTAGTAATTTTGGTGAGATTTTAGAGGCACAGTGGAAGTGGTGTGGTGAGTTCAAAAGTGAACCAAAAGTGGGGAATTAGAGATGGTATGAATGATTCTTGGAGAAATTTACTTATGAAGGGGAGAAAAGTGGGGTGGTAGCTAGTTGGAGGGGGCTGAGGAGTTAATGGAAATGTATGTACAGTCAAGTGTTGCTTAACAATGGGGATACGTTCTAAGAAATGTGTTGTTAGGCAATTTTGTTGTTGTGTCAATATAAGAGTGCACTACACAAACCTAGATGGTATAGCCTAGTACACACCTAGGCTGTATGGGATAGCCTGTTGCTCCTAGGCTATACACCTGTACAGCATGTGACTGTTCTGAATACTGTAGGCAGTTGTAACACAATAGTAAGTATTGTATATCTAAACATAATTAAACATAGAAAAGATACAGTAAAAATATAGTATAATCTCATGGGCTCGCTGTCATATAGGCAGTCCATTGTTGACTGAGATGTCATTATGTGGCACAATATGTGTATATAAATATGTGTGTGTGTATATATGTGTGTATGTGTGTGTATATATATGTACAGTTGATCCTTGAACAACATGGGTTTGAACTGCTTGGGTCAACTTAAGTGGATTTTTTTCAATCAAGTGCAGGCCAAAAATACAGTATTCCTGGGAATGTATTTATATCAGTATGAGAAGACAGGGTGAGATTACAATTATTGGCCCAAGAGGAGATGATAAATAACGTGAGTTCTCAGAGAATATGGGCAGGTAATCCAGAGCCCAAGGGAGGGAAGAGATACCTCTCTTCCACTGTAATGGGTGGGGTCGAGGGAAGGATCTGGGCAGGTCCACGTAACTAAGACACCAGGTAGCAGCAAGGTGAGGGATGTCTTACTATAAAGGCTTCCGTTTTTTTGTATGGAGAGGAGAGTCCCTGCAATGCAGTTAACAGCGGGAGATGATGAAATTGGGCTTATCTTTGTGGAGAATAAGAGAGATGGCAGAGTTGAAAACCAGCTCTGTGAACCCAGAGGCGGCTGAGTGTTTCACGGTAGCACCAGTCTGCAGGGGTGTGGTATTCCCCAGGCACACTTAGCAGTTAGGAGCCAGATGCTTCTGTCCTGGGGTAGGCAGAGAACAGCTGGGCAAGAGAAGTGAGGATTTGGGCAAAAGAGTGATTAAAATGATACTGACAAGTCCCTGTTGGGTAGGAGAAGCTGTGAATGCATATGGAAACTGGTAATTAGGAGGTAGAGGGATGAAAAGGCTAACTCTTCAGGGAGGTGGGGGAAGAAGTAGTAAAGGAACTGAAGGTCGAGAAGTTGTGGTTAGAGAGAATCATAGATGAACATTATTTTGAAGGTGGAACAGTTTCAGGTGATCAGATCTAGGGTATGGCTATTTGAGTAGGTGGCAGAGGTAGAGTGGATGTGAATTTCCATGGAGGTGAAACAGCAGGTTAAGGAACTGAGAGGCTAGAGTGATGCATGAATCCCCCATGCCAGTGTTGAAATCATGCAGAATTGTAGCGAAAACTGGGCAAAAGAGAAGGACCACGAACCCTGGCTGCCAGGTCTTCAGAAATAAAGTGGTTCGACCAGAGGATCTGCAGAGGCTAGCAATAAGATAGTCAAGGAGTCACCTGGCATATGGTTCTTACACGGAGATACAGAAGAAATGCCTTAGAAGTGGAATTATTTGGAAAGAGAGACTAGGCCTTTTCCCTTCATCTTGGTATCCCCAATGCTTAGCACAAAACCTGGCACACAGCAGGGTTCAATATGTTTTCATGAAATGAATGCATGAATGAAAGTAAACCAAGGCTTCCATTTCCTTATAGCCTGAAGTTAGCATTTTTCAGCTATATAGCTGCCAAGTTTAACTGGCGTTTAAAGGGCTTTCCAGGTCGAGGATTTCCTTAGGACCTGTTAATGCATCACAGCTGGGAAAAAGTAGTTTGGGATGGGATTGAGTCAGGGGGCTGAATAGAGAAAGTTGTCTTGCCTCTTTCTCTTCTCCTGCCCCTGCCCCTGCTCCATCCCAGAGCTACTGTTTCCCTTTAATAAAGGAGTAATTAGGCACTGGGTTATTATGAAGTGCTATAGAATATTCCTGTGAGATCCTAAAAGTTCAAAAGATAACCAGTTGTTCCAGTTTATACTATGAAAAAAAAAAAAAAAAAAAAAAAAAAAAACAGAAATAGACCAGATGGAAAACCTCATAACGACTGTTCCTTTCTATAATGTCCATTTTCACCCTGGATTTAGGCACTATTCGATTTTCCTGTTCAAAAAATAATTCCATTCACATATGTGTTTTATTGTCTGTCATTTCAACTTATAATTTCCAATAAACATTGGGAAAATGGGAGAATTTAATAATATACAAAATTTTGTCCATTTGAGGTGATAACCTTGTAATAAAGGTAAGCTCTGAATGTAGAATCATTTCTTTAAATTTTCACTTTTAAATCAATTTGAAATTCTCTGCATTTCCTTTCTGAGCTTGGCTTTTCTAATATGTGAAGAAAATTCAAGTATGCCAAAATTGAGGTGTATTTCTCTAAATTAAGTATGTAATTCTCATTAATGCTAGGAGGGTGCCATATATAGTAAGACTATAGAATGAAGAGTTCACCCAATCCTTTTATTGAAAATATGTGTGGTCACATTACTTGCTT